ATGGCCTCCACAGACTGCCATTCATCACCACCACAGTCCAGCTGTATGACCTTAAACCATAATGCATGTCCAGGTCGCATGACGTTAAACTGTTTCGCATAGGTCCCGAAGGCATGACCTTAAATACTCCTTCACAAAAAAATGATAAAATAACGGGCATGATGTATACCTTAACAAGGGAACGCTATGAGTAAAAATGACGGATGGGCATGGTCATGAAACCATGAGTAAAAGAGTTCCGTGAATAAAAAATCGAGCACGGTGAAAACCCGAAAGAACATCGTAAGTAAAAATGGATGAAAAGGGTGGACATAACCGAAAGGTTATGGGTAAAATAGCCCCAAAATAAAAAGAAGTTGGTGAAAACCATCTCTACAGCGCCGCTTCCCAAGTTCAAGCGAAAATCTATACAGAACGCTTGGACCAATAAATAGGTTGATGCTACACTAGTCTTAACAAGCGACTTCAGCCCTCACTCAAATGAAGAAAATCCCTAGTGTCATAAATGTTTGGACTCCGAAAATATGAGCTTCAAGGAAAAGATTCCGCCAACCTGAGTCCAGTTGTAAAAGGACTCAAAAGACAGAAGACTCACTAAGATGGAAAGACAAGTCTCATGAGGAAGAACATTATTCCCACGACGTCACAAACATACTCTAAAAATAATACTCCAAAGACAAGACAGTGACAAAACAAGGGGAGAACCTACCAGAGATGTCAGCTTGTCTAGCCGACAAGACCAGACCTTCGGGATCGGCTAATAGAACCTGCCCCCGACTGGACTCAATAGACGAGACCCAAAGTGGTACTTTGAATGTCAAAAGCAAACCTGGTGTAACAGCAAACAGCGCCTACTAAAGCAAACCAACGAACCTATACCAAATGGGAGCGATGCCCTTCTACATGGCACTCAATTGCAAGACAGACCTGATTCTGACTGACGAGGTCTGTACAAAATCTTCAACTTCAGAATAACCAACAGTCCGCACGAGGGTGAGGAATTCGACAAGATCCCTCAAAAATGTCTGTTCTCCCCTAAAGTCTCCATGAACGAACTTGCGTACAATGCATCCCTACGTCTGAGCAGCTTAGTGACACCATTACGTGAATCTCAATGGCGTTCACATGGTCCTCTAGCTAGGAAGAAAAAAAAGTAAAAGTCGAAGGAAATTTTCCAAATTATTGTCCTTCTCGCTTCTCTTGAAGCACAGCATTCAGCGGGGCAAGCTGTTTGAACGTATGTTTCAGCACCTTGGTCCTTGGTTGGAAGCAGGTCATAAAGTCTACAAAACAGTGGAAATTCTCGACAGTCTGAAAATGGCCCCCTATTTGGTCAGGATCATCATCAGCACTTCAAAAGACCACTTGTCGAGTTTCATAGCGATCAAACATGTCTAAGGTAGTGAACACCAAGAAACAATTTCAGCAAAATCGGTCTCTTACACCCTGAAATGGAACCTGTAACTAGAGCCACACTTTTGGTGCCTCAAAAAGCTGTAGAACCACTGCATTAGATCCGGCACGGTCAAAAACCCCTATGGGTCAAGTTTCGGCTTAATCGGACACCGTAAGACAAAGTTATGGGTAAAATACCGAAAAGGGGTAGGCCTACACTATTCCCGTGGGGCCACCCTGCACTAAAACACCATTAAAGGTGGTTGTCTTCACAGTCATGGGCAGTCAATTTTGGGGCCTATATCTTACTCGTTCCAAGATGGATCGCTTCCAAATTTGGTGAGCGTGTCCGTCTCGTCAAGACGAATCGATATGTGGTACGCCTCGTGACGACGCCCGAGCAAAGAGAAAAACTAAATGAAAGTCGTTGATCCGTGAAGGAAGTTATTGAAAATTCAGCAACTACATGCCTCGTTCGAGCAGCCAGATCACAAAGCTCGTATACCCGATCAACACAAAACCAATTGCATTAGGTGTGTAAGGTCCGAGGCTATCTCTGGTCCGAGTCTCGCATACGATGAATGGTTGGATTTCACACATGAAAGGGTCAAAGCTGTTGTAAATTCTGGCTGCTGCATTTCAAGATTCCAATCAAGAACTCGAGACGACAAAATCTTGATTTGAACATGAAATCAAGCTACATTCATTGCAACATGATTGTGACGGCATGCTCAGTGTGATTCAAACATCAAGGAACGAACACACAATCGATCCGAGGTCTTTAATATTCATCTAAGATTCAAGTCTCATGATCATGGCTCAAAAACTTGATTCATGGCTCGAAGTTGGTATCAAAATGAATGTCATGTCGAGCCCTACAAGAAAACAATAATTTTTCGATCAAAAGGGCATCAGAATGACCTCGGATCAGCTATGGAAGATCACGCAAGTTCTCGGGCAGCAGCAGGGACTGTTCTGGAATTCCCCACATTGTTAGGCAGAGGCAAAACAATCCTTTTGCATCCATTCTTATAATTTCTTTAAATTGTAATTATCTTAAATTTTAGGTAGTTTTTGGGCATACACCCACGTTTTAGCCCAATTCTATATAAACAGGCCCTCATTGTACAAAGGACAGATTCATTCTTTTTGGATCAATCAATAAAAATTCTAATTGTTGTTGGAGCTTATGGGTATGTCTTGGAGAGAGTGAGATGAGAGAGAAGAAAAGGGTCGATGCCCTTCGAGCAGGTAACTTTTTCTCTCCTCCCCTCTTCCTCTCTACTCCCCTCTTTCTCTCTCCTCCCTTCTTTCTCGTCTCTATCTCTATCTCTTTCTCTTTTTCTCATCTCTATCTCTTTCCCTCTCTTCTTCCCATCTTTCTCTCTTCTTCTCGTCTCTATCTCTATCTCTCTCTCTTCTTCTCATCCTTATCTCTCTCTCACCTCTCTCATCTCTATCTTCATCCATTCTCCTCTCTTTTGTCACAGTCGACGAAGCCTAGCACCCGTTGGATTCTCTCTTCTCTCTTCTGTCACAGTTGACAAAGCCTAACGTCGGTTGGATTTCTCTCTTTTCTCTTTTATCACAGTCGGTGAAGCTTAGCACCGGTTGGATTTCTCTCCCTTCTCTTCTGTCATCTAGCGAAGCTTAGCGTTGGTTGGATTTCTCTCTCTTCTCTTCTGTACGTCGGTGAAGCCTGGCACCTGTTGGATTTCTCTCTCTTCTCTTCTGTCAGTCGGTGAAACCTAGCACCGACTTGTTTTCTCTCTCCTTTTCTGTCAATCGGTGAAGCTTAATGTCGATTGGTTTTCTCTCTCCTCTTCTATCAGTCGACGAAGCCTAGTGCCGACTAGTTTTCTCTCTCCTCTTCTATCAATAGGTGAATCCTAACATCGACTGGTTTTCTCTCTCCTCTTCTACCAATTGGTGAAACCTAATGCTGACTTGTTTTCTCTCTCCTCTTCTATCAATCGATAAAGCTTAATGTCGACTGATTTTCTCTTTCCTCTTCTGTCACACAATCGGTGAAGCTTAACGTCGACTGCATTTCCTCTCTCTTCTCCTCTGTACAACACAGTCGGTGAAGCCTAATGTCGACTACGTTTTCTCTCTCTTCCTTCTAACACAGTCGACAATGCTTAGCCCCAGTTGCGCCTTCCTTCCCTCTCTCTCATTTATCCTCTCGTCTTTCATACTTTTGTATTCCTTTCTTCTCCCTTCTTATTTCTTTCCCCTCATCTCTTCTTATTCTTTCATCATAACCTTAATTCTGCCACTCCGTCGTTTGACTAAGGGGGATTGAGTTTAGCCTCTCATGATGGTCTCATCGTCTAGCTGTAATGTTATTATGCCAGGATTACTTAGCCTGCTTTATTGCCACGACAGACTAACCATCGTGACTAGCTAGTCGGTATTGGTAATGACATCTAGTAGTAATCCTATGAGCCGGTCTGAGTTACCGAGCCCATTTTGCTACCACGTCAAGCCAATTACTCATCAGCTTAGTCACCACTCTATCCTCTTGCTTAGTTGAATTCTTCTGTCCCCCGCCTTTCTTCTCTTCTTCTTTTTGAGTGCGCATGCTTGTGTACGTTCATTAAAGAGGAAAAGGGTGAGGTCTAACCCACCTGTCTTATAACCTTTGCCATATATGTGTGTGATTGTAGAAAATAAAAAGAATACAAGCCAAGGGAGGCGATTCCGAACCAGTTTTATTACTGAAGGGCTTTCTTCGTGATCTAAGAGGGCGCCCACGTGAGTCAGCCTGAGTAAGTCTCGAACCCACCTTTAAATTCCTCTCTCACCAGTTGGTAACACCAACCCCCGTTCTCAAACGAGGTTCTCGAGAGAGAGATCTCAAAAATGTCCTGCGCCTTCCTCGAAACCTGAGACGTGCGCCACCCGATCTCCAAAGGATCCGGAGGGCGAGATAGAGGCACCTAACCATTGGCCTCTGCAGATTGCATGCTCTTAACATATTCAAAGCATGAAGGAAAGGATGAGCCAAAAGACGGTGCTGAAATGGAATTGGTGGATGAACTAATAACAATAGCCGGTTCTTCAGGCGTCTAATTCCAACTTTCACTTGGTTGCAGCAAATTGAGTAGGCATCAGACAAAAAAGAATTCATAACATCGCAGCTTTACAGATTCTAACTTTCTCTAGTTAATTCATCAACTACAAATAATGCCACAAATGAATAAAGAAAATAGTCAAGATTAAAGTTAAACAGTCATCTTTAGGAATGGAAAAAATTTGCATCACTGTAAGCTAAAGAACGATCCAACCTTTGTAGTAAGCTTTTAGGCATCAAGACCTCCCGTCTTACTTCCCTTTCTTGCACCAATGGGCTTTTATATGGTACTGGTAACTGGATGGGAAGGAGCTTTTGTTGAGGTAAGAACTTCAAGTACATCATGTTTATCATCAGCCTCATTTTCTTTGGATGTACCAGTAAACTTCACATGAGATATACCATTTACTGTCTGATTTGCTAAAGAAGAAAGGGGTGATATAGGAGATTCTGGGTCCTCTGTCAAGCTTCTGGAAACTTCCTTTGAAAGTAATTGATGGTATAATTTAGCTACTCTTGATGTGTATTTTGATTCGATTCTACCTTTGTTGATCCTTCCATGTTGTTTAAAGAAAACCTGAGCACGATTATTTCCCCCAAAGCTCATCATTTTCAACTACTCTGGAGTCCAAGAGTCAAGATTTGTTGATCTGATTTGGAATAAAAGGAAATGCTCAAATTCAACATAGATCTTATGGTTGACAAAATGTCTACATAATTGTTAAATCAGCACAACATCTCACACCAGAAATTGTGGCAATACGAAGGAACTAGTTGATCATGATGCTCAAATCAGCTATGCAATTTTAGCATAAATAACGAATAGGGATAAGAAAATCAAAGAGGGAATACGAGGGGGATTGCATTTAAGATGAAATGGTAGACTGCTTCCAGGAACAATGCTTCTGCTTTTTATTTCAAACATTTCACAGAATTCACAAAAAATCTCTGAAATTTCTTCAAAAAAATATACAAAGTTTTCTCTACATTTTACACTATATTTCTCCGAAGTTTTACCTGTGCAGTATCTATGACGGTTGACCATGTAATGATATTAAAATTCATCATATCTCAACGTATTTGTTTTACTGTAATCAACAAATATTACTTCTTCTTAAATATGCATGAATGCCATCTTTCCTGCACAATGATATGATGCATTAAATCTGCTAGCAGGCCATATCAAAATAGAGTTTGCATCCCTAGGTTTTGTCTCCCAAACTGATCAATCTAAGATGCCAATAAATGTATGAGAACAATATCAGACAAAAAATGCATAACACTAGGCTCATAAATACCTCTTAATTTACAAATTCTATTTTTTTTTTGTTTTTTAATATAGATTAATTTTAAGAAATTCTCATTATTTTCTATTGACGAACTTCATATGTAGGATCTACTCATTGGCATCAGCCTACAATGAAGTCTGCAGTATAGCCACGTGGATCAGTAAACATGTCAACATATTGAAAGCAGACATCTAAAACTTGTGACTTGGGCTCAAAACCACCCTTCCGGTTTAGAGTTAACTTTATGAGTGAACAATGATGCAGCCGAATTATAAGTTACAATTATAGAACATGTGTCTATTCGGATGACAGATACTACGAAAAATGTAGAGAAATCACATAAGTTCAGGCTAGTGAAAATATTTAAAGAAAATAATATAACAATAAAACATATCAGAAAATTTTATAAATAATATTGAAATCTATAGTCAGCTAGCTAAAAGTGAATATTCATTCTTATTCAAAATAATGGGAGACATTCAAGCCAAATAACACCGGCAAGATGGTAACAAGTTAAACTACATTCTCCTTGGGAAATTTACACTATAAACTCTAGTGCCAAAAAACACCTATAATATTCGGGTCTCTCTCCCACTCACTCTCTATAATTCGGGTCTCTCTCTCTCATGTGCCAGACTGCATGTACTCAATGAATGAGAGAGAGAGAAATGGGTAGATAAATGGGATTGGATTGGCTTTCAGTTATTATATTCAATAAACAGATGTTGGGTTCAAGCATGGGATGGAAGCTTGCAAAAGAGCATTTGTGCAAAAGCTCCCTGCAACTTTCCCAGCAAAAGAATCATTTATGCAAAAGTTCCCTGCAACTTTCCCCCTCTTCAAGTTCAAAATATACCATCATCTTTTCAAGTCTAATCCACAGTTAAATCCCTTCCTAGTATCCACCTTCTTAACTCAATCCAAGTTCTATTCACCTACTAGCCCAACTCCTCAAAGAAGCATTTTTTCCACTTTCAATTGTTGTGCTCATGATCATTATGATCTTCTTAAATCAAAAGAACCCACATCCCGAAAAACCCAGTTTCTTCTTCTTCTTATCAGAATAGAAGCAGCCATCTCCCAAAAAACCCAAATTCTTCTTTTTCTTAGAACAGAACCCATCTCCCAAAAAACCACAAATTTTTAGAGTGAGGGTAGAGGCAGATGTGTTGGACAGTGAGGGAGAGGAAGAAGGGGTGGAGATAGAGGGCAGATGAAGAGGAAGTCCTTATGAGAGAATGAGAACAACTGTTTAGAGAGAAAAACAATGAGACAGATTGAGACGGCAAGGAGGCTTACATACACTCACAGTACGTTAGAGACTGAAAGAGTGTGTTTTAGAGCAATGGGGCCTTTAGGACTTAGGTGGAATAAAGTTCAGAATGTAATTTAGAAGAAAAAAATAAGGAGAACAGAATATGATTGTAGGAGTGGTTGTTTTGAGGTGTGAAAGGGGAGTTCAAGCACTGGGTGCGGGGGTTTTAATAGGGAAGTGCTTCTTGAAATCCAGATGGAGAGGAGGGGTTCCCATTCTTCTATGTTCTACATCACGAGCAGAACATAATCATTTAAATTGTTCAACTCAGACCTAACATAGAAAAGATAATTACAAATTCAGCATGTCTATAATACATAAGAAACTTTAAATGTTCAAAGTACACCAGTAATGGCACTTAAAATAACCACAACAATATCAACCCTTCCATGATGAGGGCATAGACTGAGTTGAGCATGCCACAAGACAGATACATGCATACATACATACATTACTCACATCACACACATGCATATAAGGCTTTTTGCTCTTGTAGAGCACTCTCAAAATAAAAAGAGTGCTTTGCCGCCCCCCTAAGGAGAGAGTTCAAAGCTTGACCTTTGTACATAAAAGAGGAAGTGATGAGGTGGGGGCTTTCATTTGTTTAGGAGACCTCTTTACGCAAGGTCAAATTATTAGCAGGGTTCACTGTAGCAAAAGCACTCTTCAACTTGTGCTTTTATGTTACGCAAACAAAGCTCTTGTTTGAGAGTGCCTTGCTTCACCTGCTAAGCTCTTGTTTCAGAGTGCTCTTCCGTAGCTTTGCTTAGCTGTAGCTAATTGAAGAAGACGGCGTAGCTATAAAAGGCCCTCTACCCAATCCAAGAGCTTTGCTAAAAGCAGTTGCTCAAGAGAGCATGGCATAGTTTGTCTGTGGAAAGCTATAGCTTGATCGTTAACACAAGAAGGCAATATTCCAATCACCTCTACAAGGTATTTTTTATTGCTTTTGTTAGCCCTCGAAACAAAGTCGGACCAAATAACTTAGTAAATTGAGTCTACCAGCACGATGTTCCAGTTACTGAGCTAAGCTGGAGTAAAGCTATATATATATATATATATCGAAAAGTCTTCCCAACGCCTGTAGGCAAAAAATGAACAGTGATTTCACCTACTCTCATCACCGTCCAAAGTTCGTCGCACGGTCACGATTGTCTGGTAGTGTTTCATTTTTCTTTTTTTTTCTACAAATTAGAATGACCTGAAATTTGGAGCGTGTATACATCTTAGTGAGGTGCACCTAATAAAAATATAAAAAAATTAATTCACTAAAAACCAATTGACCAAAATACCCCAAAATATTTTGGGGGTATTTTGGTTTTTATGTAAAATAGTTTTTTGATATTTTTCGTATATTCACTTAATTTTGATGAATACATTTCAAGTCATTCTGATTTGTAAAAAAAAAACTAAAAAATGAAACACTACTGGAAAATCATGACCGTGCGATGAACTTTGGATGGTGATGAGGGCAGGTGAAATCACTGTTCATTTTTGCCTATAGGCATTTTGTAGTATCTTATATATATATATATATATATATATATATATATCGAGAA